ATGTTTTAAAACATGATTTAAAACAATTCAAAAATCATTAAAAATCATTAAAAAACGTTTTTTTGCCATCCCTAATTTTGGGACATTTTGGGACAATTTATAAATTAAAATTACCCAAAATTTTATTAAAATAATCTACTTTAATTTTTTTAAAAATATATTCAGCACCTAAAAAAATTTATAATTATATACTATTTCAATTAATTTATTAATTATTAAAACTTGGGACTTAGTTGGGACATCTTGGGACATTGGGACGTTAGGACGTTAGGACATTACAAAAAAGCTTGGGACAGTAAAAATGTACAACACTGCCCCATGGGGCATGCCTCTTAACCCCATGCCCCCAACCCTACTTATAAGGGTATTCTGGCGCGGGTGGGTATTGTGCCGCACCTATGTTTTTTGATGATACACTGATCAGAATCGAATAAATTTAGTATCATTCGATTCGTTTTACTGAGACGAATAGCATGATACAAAAATTAATCAATTCTGATCAATGCTTGAGGAAAGCTGGGTATTATGGTGTAGTTATTATGCTTTTTTCTCTTTTTTCTCTTTTTTCTCTTTTTTCTCTTTTTTCTCTTTTTTCTCTTTTTTCTCTTTTCTCTTTTCTCTTTTCTCTTTTCTCTTTGGGGCAGTTGCAAAAAAGGATATCTTAACGCAATATGCAAACTATGGAATTTGATACATTACAAATTTTCACGTTACACGAATGAATCAATTTAATTATTGCCATATTACATATCGATATAACGTTAATTACTGCTAATATATTTATTAAATTTAATTACTTTAAAACGATGTAACTTATTGAATACCCGAAGAATTACCTTGAAATTTTCACAAGTAACTTATTAAGTGTTGGAGAATAAAGTTACGCTTTTGGATTTTCTATTAACATATAAATTTGAACATTTATCTTATATAATTTAAATTTCATTAGTTAAAGTAAAAAAAAAATTAGAATTTAAACATACAAATCGAAACTATAAATCGAGCGTAACTTCTTAGAGATGGCTTCTGTGAAGAGTTTTCAATTAAAAGAAATTAGAAAAAAAAGTGCAATGTCAAGATGCGTTCTTTAAAAATTGTGCATTATTCATTAATTAAATATATATCAAATATGATATTTAATCGATTATTTTAATTTTACTGATTAAAATCTGATTATAGCGATCGATAGTAAAATCACTAATATTGCTAATATAGTTTTGATTTACTTAGTTGACCAATAGTGCGTCATAATACCTCCCAACTACGTATGCAGTTGCAGGAAGAGACCAAATATAAAAAAGGATATCTTAACACAATATGCATAGTGCGTCATAATACCTCCCAACTACTTTTTAGATAGATTTTGGAAGTTTTAAATATCGAGTTTTTTTTTAAATTTTATTTCGATAAATTTCCTTTACATTTTAAAAATCCAAAAACAACTTTTCTATTGTTCCGGAAAAATACCCCATAAATGCATCCCTCCTAAGTGCATGACATCCTTAAATACATATTAATTTTCTGGCCCAAATATATACTAAACTCCCATAAATGCATTTTTTATTTGTTCTCTAAATGAAAGCCCTCAAAAGTTTAGGTCCTGATGATATGCATTTATGGGGGGTTGACTGTATTTGATGTCTATATTGATTTATAATCATTAAGCAATAGTTACAAAAATATGAGTTCTTCAAAATGTGTCGAGAATGTGTCAGAAATTAAAGTTTAACAGAAATGATTTTTTAACTGGTCAAACGTCCAAGAAACTACTCAACGACACCCCCTTCTCAGTCTCCCTTCTCTCTCAAGCCTAGATTTAATTTTAGTTTTCTAGAAGAAAGGAGGGGCAATGTAAAATATAAGATCATGTTGATTCTAAACGATTTTAATAAAATTTTCCAAATGCCTTCTTTGCCATTAACAACTAACGTCTTTGATCTTAATTTAGCATATCATATCCTTAAACATTATTGTTTTTTTAAAAAAACAACAACTTCTTTTTGTGCATAAAACATTTGATTTTTATTTAAAATCTTTTCGTTTATCTGAATGTGACGTAATTTGAATCGGATCGTTAGGTTTATTTATAAACCTTATTTGAGCGATGCCTGAATCAATTGAAAAATATAAAAGCTTTGAAATTTTCTTCTCCGAATTTTATAGCTTAAAGCTTTGATTTTTTGTATGTCATAATTCTTCAATAATTATATAAATTATTTATTATTATAACTATTCTTTTTAACATGAATGTTAACCTTCTTCATATAGGTATTTTAATCAAAGATGCCTATCAATATGACTAAATTAGGATTTCTCCCTATCGTGATTATTTTCCTTCTCTACGTAATCGATTCATTTGCAAACGTCCAGCCAATAACTATTGGAAATGAGGGTAATCTCTATATTAAAAAAAAAATGTTGACCGAATATAACCACGTATTAACTTGATGATATAATTAAACAGAGTTTCCAAATGTCGAAATTCCGGCAAAACTCATGGTCCCAAAAGACAATGCTTTCAAATTTCATTTACTCGCTGCCGGGTATTTCTGGTATAAATGTAATGGCAGCCATGCATGGGAACTTGGTACATATATCGAGACCTCAACTATCGACAAACTAAGTCGATATTATAAAAATCTGCTTAGTCAACTTAGTCGATTACTTCGAACATGAAAATATTCAAATTTTACTTACACACCTAAATTGTTTTAAGATCCAAAATCTATTTTAAATAGATTCTAAATTAGACGACAACGTAATATGACATATAATATATATAAAATAACGTGATCAATTCTATTAAGAGTCGGCTAAGTCGACTAAGCCGATTAATCCCGATCTGCTTATAACACTACCATAACATTCTTTGTCGTTATCTTTATGAAAAATTTTTTATCATATACTATTATTCTCATTATTAGATGATGATCGAGTAATACTCTTTAACAAGAAAGAAGATGTCGCCCACTATCCCTTTACGGGTGTGGCATCATCTTTTAAGTCACAAAGTATGTAAGATGTGTTCAAATTAATACTTAAACCATATAAAACTTATAGTTAATTACTGATTAATAGAATTTCTTGATAAAATTTAGATGGCCTTACTGGTCTTAGATCTCTTATTCCACATGATCCCTCATCATTAGTATTTTCTGCCATTGCCGTCGCTCCACCCAAGAATCCGGAACAAGATGCTCCTCTGCAACTTTCTGTTATTACTGCAAGTATTGAAATATATGAATAATTCTATAATTCATACGTACGTATAAAGATTAACATTTTTGACAAACAGGAAGCCCAGTTGAATTATGCATTTAGCAAGATTACTTATGTCATTCGTGTCGCAACTCACGGTGGAGCTCCTCCGGCGAATTCTTTATGTGAGTTACAATAAATATTTTGATTGAAAATTATCTTATTTCGTTTTATTTATGACTTTTCATTTTTGTTAGGTGGTACACACTTCCCGATCGGCTATATCTTTAGCTCTCCATTAGCCGCAATAGTTTTGTTTTACACAAAAGGATGAATTTTTCATTATGACTTGAATCAATCTGTCCTAATCTGATCAATTTATTTCTCTACCTATATTAAAATAATAATAATAATAATATAACGATAAATGCAAAATTCAATAAAATAATTAAATATTCATTTCATTCATATTTCATTTTTATACTTACAATGCAATATTATTTTGAACAATATTCAAATTATCATAAGATCAAATTTACAACTTTAAACAAAGATTTGCTAATTTATTGTCCATTTTTACTAACTAGATAATGCATTCGCATCCTTGAACCAAGTCGATGCATGTTAATTATCTTGCTTAATGTATTAATTAACTCATGTCGATTGATTATAAAAAAATGAATTACTTTATTGCATGATACTAATTTATTTTAATTGAATAAATTTTCGTAATCCTGTTGCTGTATTTTAATTGAATAAATTTTCGTAATCCTGTTACTGTAATTTAATTGAATAAATTTTTGTAATCCTGTTACTGTAAATGTTTAATTAAGAAAGCGTATTGTTTGCTAATCTTGAAAAAAAATTTTATAGAGCAGTAATCAAAAATGTAAGAAAATCGTTACCGACCACTACTCTAAAATTTATGACACATATATGACGCACATGTTAATGTCTATATATTTAAGAAATATATAATATATAAATAATTTAATCAATATTGTATTACTTCTGTACTTTGTTGCAATGGACGATACACAAGAAATTCATAATTATTCTTTCGATTCAATTATTAAGTTTAAACAACTAAAATGTTTTTATATAAAGCTATCAAAGAATGCACCTATTCTAAGAAATCATTATTAGCATATATCTTTTCACAAAACACGTGTATCAAATTCCTAATTATTATGTACTATTCAATATTCTATTAACTATAATAAAGAAGAAACAGTTTTTTAAATATGTTTTGAAAAACACTAAATATTTTTTACTAAAATAGTCTCAGATATATTTATAGTCAACCCTTGATATAGTCACTCTCAATATAGTCACAAACTCGATATAGTCACTCTCAATATAGTCACAAACTCAATATAGTCACTCTCAATATAGTCACAAACTTGATATAATCACATTATTTTATTTACCAATTAAATTTATATTAGTTTATTCTTTATATAGTTACAATTGCTTTATAGTCACTATTATATTTTTTAAAACCAAAGTAATAAAAACATACAGTATTAACTTTATCTTTATAAAATCACAAAATAATATATATAATTATAGAATAATATATTTGTAGCCATGGTTACTATCTCATAAAAGCTAATTAAATTTAAAAATCAGGTGTAATATAATACAATCAGAAGGACAATTCAAAACAAATATTTATTTTGTTAAAATTATCAAAAATTAGTTATAACTCAAAATTGAGTATAAAAAACTACTCTTTGGGTTCTAACAAAAAATTTTTTACTAAATTTTACTATAAACTATATCTTTTACCTATATATTATTTTATTTTTACCCTAATTCTATTATAGTGTTTTTATAGACTGAACTTAAACCAAACTTTAATCAAGTTTGAGTCTGGTCTATACATGCTAATGAAATTATTTTGAAGTCTAAAACCTAAAATTAAAATTTGAAGATAAAATTGTTTTTGATCTATTTTACTTAAAAGACAAAATTTTTTGATATTTTTTTTGAAGAAATAAAATTATAAAGAACATAACTATCTAAATTAGACTTGCTCTTGCATATAAAAAATTCTATTTTGCTCTAATAGAGATGAAATAAGGTTTTTTTAAAAACCTATTTCGGTAATATGTATAGTTTAGTCTGATTTTTGAACCAGATTTAAATTTTTATATTCAAATTTTTTAGCCAAGTTTGAGTTTGGTCTGGTCTAAAATTTGCAAACTAGTCTGAGTTCAAATACTTAGATTATAATTATTATTACTCAAGTAGTCTGTATAATATATATTATAACTATTTTTATAAATTTTGAAATATCTGATAAAATTTTTTTCAGATAATCAAAAAATTAAAGCAATTAAAGAAATTAGAATAATACCAAAAAATTTAATATTAAGAAATTAAACCAATATTAAGAAATCAGAGCAATACTAAGAAACTAGAATAATACTAAGAAACCAGAATAATACTAAGCTAGAACAATACTAAAAAACTAAAATGATATTAAAAAATCTAAACAACACAAAGAAACTAAAGCAATGTTAAGAAATCAAAATATTATCAAGCAACTAGAATAATATCAAAAAACTAAAATAACTTTAAGAAATCAGATCAATATCAGAAATCAGAATACCAACTAAGAGCAACTTCAAAAAATCAGAGCAGGCTAAAGCAATCAAAGCAATCTAAAAAATCAGAACAATACCAAGAAATTAGAGCAACACAAAAATCAAAGTAATACCAAGAAATCAAAGCAACACCAAGAAATTAAAAAGACAAATAAATAGAAAAAATTAAAAAAAAAGTATATTTATAAAGTAAAAAAAATATATATATATATAGATTATAAAATTTATTTTTTGATAATAATTATATAGTTAATTACAAGATATAAAAAAAATTTTAAAAAAAAATAAAAATGTTAAAA